GTCATCAGCTTACAGGTGGTAGTGAAATCCAAATGAGGTAATAAGTTTGCCAAGAGAGGCAGTGTAAAGAGAAAATAGAAGGGGACCAAGGACAGAGCCTTGGGGGACTCAAACCGAGACAGGATGAGGGGAGGAGGTATCATTAGAAAAGGAGACACTGAATGAGTGTTGGGAGAGATAAGAGGAAAACCACAAGAGGACAGTCACAGAGACAGAGTGATTTAAGAGTTTGAAGAAGGAGAGCATGATCAACGGTGTCAAAGGAAGCAGAAGGGTCAAGAGGAATTAGTATGGAGTAGTGGCCTTTGGATTTAGCTGTAATTAGGTCGTTGGTAACTTTGATAAGAGCAGTCTCAGTAGAGTAGAGAGGGTGGAAGCCAAATTGAAGAGGGTCAAGGAGAGAGTTGGAATTGAGGAAGTGAGACATACGGGTAAAGACACGTTCCAGAAGCTTTGAGGAAAAAGGGAGCAGGCATATGGGATGATAGTTATAGGGGGAGGATGGGTCAAGAGATGGTTTTTTTCAGGATAGGTACTACAGTTGCATGTTTAAGGTCAGCAAGGACAATGCCAGTTGAAGATGTGTGTTAAGGAAGGCACAAGACAAGGTGAGAGAGATCTGATAAGGTGAGATGGGACAGGATCATGCAGGCAAGGGGTGGGGCAAGAGGAAATGAGAAGTGCAGCCACCTCTTGTTCAGTAGCCAATAAAAAAAAGTCTGAAGGGTAGGAAAGGCATGATCTAAGTGTGGTTAGGAAAAAGAACAGCAAAGTGGGGATAATTCTTTCCTTAGCTGTTCAATCTTGTTGGTAAAGTAGCATGCAAAGCTATCAGCTGTACGGTTAGTTTGGGGGGTGGTCACAGCAGGGCGAAGAAGAGAGTTAAAGGTGTCAAGGAGATGCCTGGGATTGCGGGAGCATGAACAAATGAGAAAGGAAAAGTATGACTGTTTGGCGAGGGCAAGGGCAAGGGCAGCGCTGTATGAACACAATATGAATCTGTAATGGAGAAAGTCTGACTGGGTGCGAAACTCAAGGAGCATTCAGCACAATGGGAGCATCTTTTCAGGTAGCGTGTTGATTTAATATGCGAGGGTAGTGTTATATGTGGAGATGGCCAGTGAGGGACAAGAGAGGGATGGATAGCAGTTGTGAATCAAGATCAGCTGACAGCTGCTGCCAATAGAATTAAGGTTCCTCCTGAGTTGGGGGGGGGGGAAGGGGTTAGGCTGAGGTTGTTGGATGAGGGGGTCGAGAGCAAAAGATAAGAGGTGGTGATCAGAGAGGAAATGGAGTGTTTCAGATATTAGATACTATACATGCATAAGAGAAAATGAGATAGAGGGTATTGCCGGCTACATGGGTGGGAAAATTAGCCCATTGCAATAGCCCGAGGGAGGAAGTAACTGAAAAGTAATTTAGAGGCTGCTGCGGTCAGAGGTGGGTTAATTGGAATATCAAAGTCTCTGAGAATTAGAGATGGAATGGAAGAGAGGAAGTAGAGTAGCCAGGGAGCAAAGTAGTCAAGAGAAGAGGGCAAGAAGGGGGGTGATAAATAACAGCAATGTTAGCAGAGAAGGGTTTAAAAAAGGCAAATTAAATTAATTTTAAATGATGGGAAAGAGAGGAAAGGGGGGTGGCAGAGGTTTGATGGAGCAGTGAGGTGAGAGGAGAAACCCTACACCACCACCTTTACATTCAGAATGTCTTGGGTTGTGGGTAAGTTTAAGACCACCAAGAAGCAGGGAGAGCAGTGACAGAGGGGGAGAGCCATGTTTCTGTTAAGGCTAGTAAATCTAGGGGAGAGATGAAGAGGTCGTGGACAGCAGTGGATTTTGTAATATTGCAAACAGAGCGTGCCTTCCAGAGGGCAGTATTGAAGGAGGATTTAGAGGAAGAGTAACATGAGATGGGTATGAGATTGGTGTAGTTTCTTGAGTTAGTACATGGTGGGTTTGCCGAGATGGGACCAGTGTTTGGAGAGACATCGCCAGCTGCTAGGAGCAAAAGGATAGAAAGGAAGTGAAGGTGGGAATAGGATTTGTAGGAAGGTGTGTATATAGATAATTTTGGAGGAGTTGGAGGAGATAGGCTGGAAAGGTTTATGTAGAGTGCATGGGATGAATAAAGAGAGGAGTAAAGTAATGAAGATGGTGTTGCCAGGGACAGGTGAACAGAAGTATAGGGATTCTTTAGTAATGAGAGAAGTTAGTGTGAAAGTGAAAAATAGAAAGGAGAATATTATTTAGAGAAAATGTTGTTGTTGTCATATGTTTTTTTTACAATTATCATTTGTTTACAAAAAACTACACATAGGACATGATTGTCAGCAAATTTAATGTACAGTGAAATATATTTTATTGCATAAAATAGGGGTCATAAACACAAATATTGGCATGCATATTGCCCTGCATATATCTCAAATCCTATAGAGAATTTTGACATATTATTGGTGATTGTAGCTGATACTTCATATCTTTGCTTGGGAAGTTATCAGAGGCAGCCGAAACTGCATGTTACACATTTACTTATATAGTGAACCAGCCTGGATGAATGGAAACCTCTATATATATGACAACTAGTAGCAAGTGGTTCCAAGTAAAATGTATATTGCTTAATATGGGCTAAAGATCACATTACATATCTTGGTATAAACATACTTTTCTTGTTGGGATAAGATAAATATCCTCAAGTGTTTTGCCTTGCTAAATGGACATATATCTTTAGACTGATCACAGTTAAATGCCCTGATAATTAGCTGAAAATAATACATTCTACATTTCTCAAATTCATTTGGAAAGAGAAAAAATCTCACATAAATAGGAGAATGTTAACGCTCAATATAAAACATGGCAGTTTGGGAATGCCAGACGTTTTTAAATACTACTTAGCAAGTAGACTCAATCATTAATATTATTATTTATATATCATGCGCTAATATCACAAGAAGATATCTCAAAAAGTTAGAAAATGGTATTATATTGAACAAGCTTTTTCTAACATTAAAGATATATCTTTATTATTTTGGAGACATAAGATACCAGGGGATAAAAATAATCAAGTGAAAATTAAATGCTTATACAATACGATAGAAGATTGGAATTTAGAAAGAAATTGCACATAGATAATAAAATCTTTGTCTCTCTTCCATTGAATATTTTAGAATCATCCATAGACAAAAATAATTTGAAAAATAAAGGCATTAGGAAAATAAGAGAAATAATAGACCGATATAAGATGACATCCTTTCCCCGGCTCGTTTCAGCATATAACATTCCTAACAAGGAAATATTTAATTATTTAAGACTGTGAGGTATTTAAAAAAATAAATAAAATATTTATACACAGGAAGCTCAGAAACAATTAACATGTAGAATCTTTATTAAAAAGAGATCCATGTTTTTAGTTTCAGGGCTTGTGGGCGATTGAACCCCTTCACTCCCAAAACAGTACATACACAACCTTACGTTAGTCTTGTAATGCAAAGCAATGCAAAGTCCATGAATGAGAATGAGAGGTCCGAGTGCAGGAATTAGAGGTCCCATCCAGGTGGAGAAATATAAAGTAGTGACCTTGTCTCTAAAATGTTATCCTATTTGGAATCAGATCCAAGTGAAAGTAGGGGTTTTTAGTTTCCAAAATTAGTTTCCAAAATCAGTTATTTACCAGGTATATATGTATTTCTAAAGAAATACATACAGTTTAACTTAATGAATGAAAGTGTCAGAAAGAGTTAACTACTTTGTTTAAAAATATTTTGTTTATTAAGAAATAATATTCAGGAAAACTATAAAATGTTATTCATATTGTCTGCTTTACAGTAGAGACTCACAGGGAAACTATTACTTCTCAGGATTTTTAATATAATGTTTAATTATCTGCTATATTTTACCGATGTGTGTTTAGGAGGTTTGAAATTAAATATATAGAAATTCACACAACTGTGTGTAGCGCTATCATGAACTGACCTCCTCTATCTTGACTCACTGGCATTTATTGTTATAAGCTGTAATAAGCCTAGCATGAAGGAAGAGAAACTGTGGAGGAGATTTAACAAAAGTGGTACAAAAATGCTGCAAACTAAAATGGAAGGAGTCGTCAATGGAATGTGTCAGCTGGGTCCAGTGTTTCCAATGGTGAATTCCCCACAGTACTCTGCACTATTTTTCAGAACACAACGCTTTGGCCATTTATGAGTTCCCACTCCAATGAAATATGTGCCCCATGAAATGGATTTTGATGTAAATTACTAAACCTATAGCATTCATCTAAAATAAACTGGAGAAGCACATGGAAGACCTATAACACATGTGCTTTTAGTTTTGTTATTCATTGTAATTGTGAAAGAAGAGATTGTTCTGTTTTTAAGAAAAAAACAATCGCTATAAAATGTTTTGGAAATTCTCGAGGGTGGGACCATATTGTACCAATTCAACTCCTCTCTCTTAAAGATGTCAGTGTGCCTAGATAAAATATAAATGGAATGCTCTAGCAGGTTATGGTAATTTAAATGAATTTGACTTATCCTTTATACTTCCTTAAGTAGTTTTTAACATGAGTTGTTTATTTATGACACTATGGCAGCATAGCCTTTGAGCCTATCGATGACCTCTCCTTGATTGACATGCCTACAGGATAAATTAATCTGCCCCGGAGAAAATATATGTGGGCAAAACAGTGTGTGTTTGAAGAAAAGTTCATTTTTTTTCCAGCTTGAGAGTGGAAATTCAAACGTAAAAAGAGTGCATGATAAACTTAATGCTATATTTAGCTAGACAAGTGTTATGTTCGGCAGAGTATGTGGAATAGCATCATTTAACAGGCCACAATCACATAGATTGCTATGTAGGGACTGTGCTTACATAAACATCAGATTTCTAATGACTTTAAATGCTGTGTTGAATGCAAACCAACACCTTTTGAAATGTTTTTAGAGATATTTTTACTACATAAACCACGGAATTCAGAAAGAAATGCTAGCACCTCAGGGGAGCAAACAGATGGACAACATCTTGGCAAATGTTCCCAGCCAACTTTTGAATAATCCAGGTTTGGATAACTTGCTCACAAGAATAAAAGAAGAGATTGAACATGATTACCACTCCAGCCTCAGGAAAAATATTGGTAAGATTTAATAGTTAACTAAGTAATAGTTATAATAGAATTACTATAGTATTTGACTTATCTAATTGCGAACAGGAAGTGGAACATTTTAGTGCACCAATCCCATGATTCTTTAGTCAAAGAAACTTAGTAAATGAAATGGAAGTCTCAAGTCACATTCCATCAAGTTTTCTTATGTATAATTTTAAAGTACAACTGTCATAAATATTTCACTCTTCATTTAAAAAAAATAATTAAATGTAAAGGGCTACTTCAAACATAGTCATTTCCGCCACCTGTTTAGCAACAATTTGGCACTTTATTTGGGTAGTCCAGTGATGTATGCCTGGCTTCTGCAGAGCCTTGGCCATCAACATTCATTAGCCCAAGCATCAGCTGACCATACTCAACCAATGACTGTCATTCTGTGCAACAAAAGTTCTGGGCAAGCTGATGACTCTCTAATAATGATGTCAGAGGTGAAGTTACACCTCTAACAGTAGTGTTGTTACGAACATGTGTTAAAATGTATCTAATAATTATGATATGCGCTGTCAAGAGGGGTTGACAAACACGTTTGTTTAAATAAAAGACCCTCATTAAATAAGCAATCAACGTACCTATTTTACAAAATAACATTCCATCCAAAGTCCATGAAGTTCAGCAGTTAACACATGATTGTGGCTGATAGTTCACATTATGCCAGAGATCAAAAAATTCTAAATATAATTATTAAGAGGGGAACTTTTTATTTTTAATTTTTATTTTTTTAATTGATCAGATTTTAAATTGCAAAGAAAGTGAAACTTGTAGCCTTAAGTTATTCATTGTAATTCTAATTTAAAATATTTCCAATGTATGCTTTGTTTTTCAGTTGATTATATTTTAAAAGACCCAGAAGAGAAAGAAAGGCTGTTTATTGCCAGCACACCTCCCAGTTACCCTATTCGAGTAATCCGTGCCCCAGTCCCTTGGCACACATCCTGCAGAGATGCCAAAAGCTGGACTGAAGAACACCTCTTCATGGTGAATCCAATAATGTTGTCTCTGCAAGATCTCTGGCACCAACAGTAAGAGACTATTGCAAATGCTGAGATGTAAACATCATAGATAAAATAAAGTGACAGCTGAATATAATAACTAAAAGATAGTTTATATAAAACACGCCTCGCAGTGTACAGCACAGATTTTATTGCTCTTTGTTTATTAAAAAAAGTATTTAGACATAAACTGAAAATATTAAAAAAGTGCTGATAGATTATTTAATTATGTCCAAGACAGTTGAATGAGTACAGTTATTTTATTTTATATGCGTTAAATGCTACTAAAGAGTACTCTCTTATTAGATTTTCTTCATTGTGTAACACACAGGGAGGTAATGAAGTACACACGATAGGTAGACACTATGTTTTGTTTGGTATATTTAAACAAGCTCCAGATATTAAAGCACTACAATTCCCATGAACCTTTGTCAGCAAGCAACAAAGCAAATGGTTGTCAACCATTCGTGGAAATTGTGGTTTTTGTTTGTTTTCTTTCTTTCTTATGTTTTTCTTATGTCTTCACTGAAGAAATACTGTTTCTGTATCCCTCCATTTTCTTATAACGAGATGTGAAAATTAATAGGAACCCATCAGTTGTTCATAAGATGGCATGTGTTTTGCTAACGATTTGGAGTGGATCGATACTGGAAAAAAAAAGATTTATTCTCTTGAAACCAGCTTTGATAATGCTTTCAAGGAAATCAATAATAAAAGATGATTTAGTGTTTAGAAACCTTTGATTGTATAGGTCTGACGTATTATTCAAATCTGTGAGGGTACTGTATTCCCAACATGTTCATGGACTTTAAACCATTAATTATAAGGGTTCTTTTTGTTAATAATTGTTATATTCCCCGGTTTACCTTTCATAAAAGAAACAACAATGCTTACAATTATGTTCAATTTATATAAAATAAATTTGATAAAGTAAAAAACTACCATTGGGGACAACCATTAGTTTATTTTGGCCACTTAGAGTCTTAATTAAATCTATATTCTGATTGGCTAAAATCAACAACCAATCAAAACAAAGCGTAGTTTTTAAATGTTTCATGGTGTTCCCTGTTTATCCCTGAGCAAAAATAAACTGCATGGAATTTTTGCAGAGCTTGCCCTTATGAGGTCCATGATGGTTGCTGTGTATGGATGAGCCATTTAGCCACCATCAGCTAAATGGCCAAGGTTGCTCAGCTTACCCTGCAAACAAGGTGTCCAACTGTTTCATTTGTTTTGTGTTAGACTAAAATTCCTATGTGTCACCACCATCTCAGAGTGTCAAATAATTTCAATGTGATAGAAGGTATATCCAGTAGATTAGATGATTTGTAGTCTGGTACACTGTTTCAACCCAGGCATTTGGAAGAAAATATAAATAAGAAATGCTTCTATCACTCTGTTTTGCTGGCTGGTAAGTCTTCTTTTATGCTCATAATATAGTAACCAAAGGTAAGATGCATTGTCACTTTAGTCCTTTATCTGTATCCACTGCTGAGAGCTAAATGGATTGAAACTGTTGACAGGACATCTTTCATCTGGTGAAACAAGTTTACCTGTTGGGCTTTTTTTTTTTTTAATGACTCAGCCATCAGCATTATTCATAGCAACCTTTCAATATTAGGGAAAAATTAGTTTTTATTGTATTTCTGTTCAATTTGTAGATTTGCTGGCTTGAGGTTTGTTCGAACAAAGGATCTGCTCACTGGCAATTTGCCTCTACTTCCCGCTGAATTTGAAAAGCTGGTTCACAACCATTGTCTGGAAGCACGTACCACATTACGAAATAAGTATGTTGATTTTATACCTCATTGAGCTGTATTAGCATTGTATGTATGTGCCTAATGACACCGATAAAGCCTTCAATTACATACAACACAAGTGCGCTAATATTGGCATCTATTATTTGTGATCGTTTATCCTATTGCTAGCTAGAAATGGGATACACGTCATTGTTTTCCGAACGGCTATCACATTAACCTTCAAACACTGTTGGATATTTGAGATTGAACAACACATTACCACTGTTGCACTGTTGTAGGTAACCACATAGACATGTACACAATGCAAATACTTGACTAAACTTTAAGCCATGGGCTTGTCTAATGGATTGACAAACCTTTATATAACTTCTTTGTATATAACAAGCTAAGCATGGAATAAGCAAAGGAATCTCTTAACAACGATATCAAATGCGATTTCAGTATTTATATATTTAAAGCGACTCACACTTTTTTGGTTCTTTGGATTGCAAAATTTTGTCCAAAATGCTTAAGGTGGAAAAAAGTCTCCAGTCTATATGGCTGCCTAGAACGTAAGCCTCCCCACCCTGTACCAAGGCTAGTCATTAATCATTCACTTATTCAAAGAAACGAGTAATGGACAAGTAAATATAATGTGATATTGCCTAAAACAAGCAAAGTAAGTGATCTTCATTATCATGTTCTAGAGATACTTACTTATATTGTCATGTTCTATTAGAATCAAAGTAAGTGTAATCAACCATGGCAAACAAAGAGAAGGAAGGGGTTGACTAGTGATGTCATTAAATTTCATTGAATGATGTGTCTTATCGTGTGAGATGCTTAAAATCTGGAAATGGCTAGTCTGTTGTATCTAATTTTTGTTTAATGCAGGTGGATACCAGCTTGCGCCTCTCTCTTTATAAGTCATAAGGATAGATGGATGCATTTAGTTCCCCAGAATGACAACAATTCTCTGGTCCGAGTGGAAGAATTTTTTGCATGCGTTTCGTCCTTGATGTCTTTACAGCTACGTGAAATGGTTATGAATTCTCTTCAAGACATGCTTTCCTTTTTCAGTATACACAAGGTAATTAAACTGCAGGCTATGCATTAAGTACAGGATCCGTTTCAGTGTTCTTGTTATGGACAAACATAACCAACAGAATCATTCCAGACAAATGAATAACACAGCCAGCCCTGTGAATGTTCTGTTAATGAATATATATTTTTCTCAACAATCCAAATAGGTTTTTTTTCTCTTACCATTTGATTACACCTCCAGAGTCCATCAGAAAAATGCCTCCACTAATTGCCTTCTTACATTTTCTGCACATTGCCTGTTTTTTGGTTGGTTTCTAAAGAAATCTCAAAAATAATTGGGAAGAATGTCTAGTTTTTATATAGGGTCCTCTTTACTAAACAGTGCGTTGTAGTTTAGCATATAAAGCTCCTGTGTTTTTATGTTTAAGAGATCAAGAAATGCCAGAGATCTGTCTTAAATCAATGCATCATTGTACAAACTTCTTGCTCTCATTAACACTATTTGTTACAGTTTTAATGCAAAGGTATTTAATGCAAACGTATCTGTGACATTTAATGAAACTTGGGATCTGACAAAGTATCATTCAGCGAAAAGTATGGGTATAAGTATATTAGTAGAGTAGAGCGGACACCTGGATGTTTGGGTTCGGCCGAACCTTGAAAAAAAGTCCAGGTTCGGGCTCGAACTTGAACCCTAACCCCATTGAAGTCCATGGGGACCTGAACTTTTGGACACAAAAATTGCTCTAAAAAACTCCTTGAAAGGGCTAGATGGCTGCAAAAAGAAGTAAAATGGGGGTAAGAGTAGGACAAGTGCCATGCAAACAAATGTGGATAGGGAAATCACTTAAAATAACATAAAATACATAAAATAAGCAGCCAATTAGTAGATAACTCCCCAATTCCCACGGTATTAGCAAGCTATCTACCAAAAGGCTGAGAGACCTAAATTGGTCTTTCAGCCACATTTACTAATACTAAGTAAAGATTACTTAGTATTAGTAAATTCAGCCCCTACTCAGCCAGTGGCTGCTCACTGTAAAAAAACAAAACCCCAAAAAAAACATTGCCCCCACCCCTGTGCGACAGGTGGGGGCCCAAAATAAGAATGTGGAGGGGGGGACCTACGGTCCTTCCCCTTGGTCCCCACCCCTGAGAGGCGGGTGGGGGCCCTAAATAACAATAAGGGGGGGGACCTACTGTCCTCCCCCCCGGCCCCCACCCCTGAGCGGTGGGTTGGGGCCATAAATAAGAATTTGGGGGGGACCTACTGTCCTCCCCCCAGCCCCCACCCCTGCGCAGCGGGTGGGGGCCCTAAATAACAATAGTGGGGACGACGACCTACTGTCCACCCCCCCCCCCAAGCAGTGGGGGCCATAAATAAGAATTTGGGGGGACACCTGCTGTCCTCCCCCCGGCCCCCTCCCCTGCATGGCGGGTAGGGGCCCTAAATAACAATAAGGGGGGACCTAATGTCCTCCCACCCCTGAGTGGCAGGTGGTGGCCCTAAATAAAACTGTATCCCCCCAGGTGACTAGCGGTCCCCAAACCCCTAGTCACCTCCCTCCCCAAAAATAAATTACCCCTACCTACCCCCCTCATCCTAAAAATAATGAGGGAGGAACCTTATCTAAATACCTGTTTAAAAAAACCAACAAAAAACCAGACTTGCCATTTGATGTCTTCTTTCTTCTAAACTCTTCTTTTTTCAGCCCCAAAAAAGGCCAAATAAAAATCCATAATAACCGACGCACTTTAAAAAAAAAAACGAGCGCCCAAAGAAAATAATCAATTTTCCCCCATTGAGGGCTCTGCGCAGACTGAGCTCTGCAGGGCAGGGGAAGGCTTATAAAGCCTTGCCCCGCCCAGCAATTAGGCTCAGAGCAATCTGATTGGTGGGTTTAAGCCATCCAATCAGAGTGCTCTGACAGGTAAATAAAGAGACTGACAGGTAAGTCTACATTTACCTGTCACAGCACTCTGATTGGTTGGCTTGAAATCCACCAATCAGCGTGCTCTGTCATTTTACACAGCGTGGGAAAGTTCTTTGGGGGCCAGGGGGAGGACATTAGGTCCCCCCCTAATTGTTATTTAGGGCCCCCACCCGTTGCGCAGGGGTGGGGGCCGGGGGGTAGGACAGTAGGTTCCCCCCCCAAATTCTTATTTATGGCCCCCACTCACCACTCAGGGGTGGGGGCTGGGGGGGGAGGACAGAAGGTCCCCCCCCTTATTGTTATTTAGGGCCCACACCCGCCGCTCAGGGGTGGGAGCCGGGGGGAGGACAGTAGGTCGTCCCCCCAAATTCTTAATTATGGCCCCCACTCACCACTCAGGTGGGGGCTTGGTGGAGGACATTAGATCCCCCCCCCAAATTTTTTATTAATGGCCTTCACCCACCGCTCAGGGGTGGGGACCGGGGGGGAGGACAGTAGGTCTCCCCCCCTTATTGTTATTTAGGGCCCCCACCCGCCACTCAGGGGTGGGGCCGTGGGGGGCAATCGGTCCCCCCTTTAGTTTAAAAGGAGGGGGGAATTATTTACATTCCCCTACTAGCTGGGTCACATTAGTAGGCATGGCTGTGATGGCTTCTAAGGGCACACAAGTCAAACGCTTGTTGATTGGCTGCCCTGCAGCCTTTCAAAACGAGTCATTAAATCGCCAAACACCGAACTCCAACCCGAACATACAGTGATATATCAGTGTTCTGGTCTGGGATCCAAAAAACATAATGTTTGGTACAAAGCCAAACTTTTCAGTTCGGGTTCGCTCAACTCTATATATTAGCTAAACTCCTGTAAAAAGTTGTATTAATAAATTCAATAGATTAAGCTAAGCATAGAATAAGCAAATTAATTGCTTGACAACAATATCAAATAGGTTTTATAATGGATGATGGAACAGATTTATGTCCAGTTCTATATTTCTATTAAAGTATCTGTGCAGATTGCATTGCCTTGAGTCCCTAGCCCTTTGGGACTTAGAAAATGCCTTTATGTAGTAAATATATATGTACTACTATAATATTATGATTGAGAGAGTCTCAGTCCCTAAATATTATGTATGTTTGACAGGGGTTCTCTTTGTCATGGTTCCCGGCATCTCTGCCGGCGTGGCTGCACTCAAACTAAGTCAGAGATGTTTCAAACTTACCTTGGGCTCGGCGGGCAGCTACCCAGTCTCCCTCTGTTCTCCAATCCCCAGCGGCTGCGACGTTCCTAGGATCGGGCTTTTATAAGAAACTTACCTTCGCCCACATCAAAGATGGCGCCGACGTACATGCGGCGTCATGTCATAGATGCGTACGCATGTTTTGGGGTCAGAGGTCAGAGACAGCCAATTACAGCCTAAGGAGGGTTATTTAAACCCAAATTACCTTTGTGTCACTGCCCTGTCATGGTTTCCACTAGCTGGTTATCTGAGAGTGTGTTCCTGATTGCGTTTTTCTGGTATTTGACTTTGGCTTCGTTTTGACTTCCCGGATTTTTGGTACCCTTGACTTCAGGTTTTCCCTCATTGTTGTGTCTCATTCTATGTCCCTGACCTCGGCAAGTATTTTGACTATTCTGCAGTACAGTAAGTCCGGCCATTCTAAGGTCCGGTTAGACGTTATCCTTAGTCCTAGGTGTGATACTATTCTGTGTGCTGGATCAACTATAATCCTGACACTCTTTATGTATCCATCATGTCAGTGCTATTATTAATGTTATTATTACTGACATTTATATAGTGCCATACTATTCTGCAGTGCTTTACAATATTATAAAGGGGAATGTTAACAAAAAAATTAGACAAACTATTACAAATTTTGACAGGAACAATAGGTTGATGAGGGCCCTGTTCTAATGAGCTTACAATCTAGAGGTCTTGCTTTCCCTGATAATTCTTCATCTGAGTTTGAATGTATCTCAGCTCACTAATTAAAGTACTCTGTATACACATTTGTGTTTTGCATATTATACTATAACAGGGGTGGGGAACCTTTGGCCCTCCAGATGTTTTGGACTACATCTCCCTTGGTGCTTTGCCAGCATTATGGGTGTAAGAGCATTATGGGAGATGTAGTCCAAAACATCTGGAGGGATGAAGGTTCCCCACCCCTGTACTATAACGATCTGTGTTTAATACTGCACACATATGAAATGAGTCATTCTTATGTTAAACATGAAATGCCTGGTGTGTTCTGAGATACGGACTGTTACAGTCATACTGTCACCTGATAATGGTATTCATGAAGGTATTTTATTGGTATATAGCACCCACTCACATTCAGTTGGAATATGTACAGGAAACCCTGCGCTGATGGTTACAGTCACAACTTATCGCATGATCTTTATCTTTAGCAGTGCCTAGCAGAGCCCGTATCTGTTACTATCAAGGTCAATAAAGTTTCTATTTAGTTTTGCATCCAGAGTGCACCGGTTTTCTATATCACTGCCTTTCATTAGCATCTAAAGAAATAGTGCAATGCATCCATGCCATCCTAACCCATTACTCCCAGTACCAGGATGTAATGCCCAGTGGTGCTTTGTGGTTTTATATCCTTAAAGATGAGAAAGCAATGCCCTAGGTTTAGCTCAAGTTGCAGACCTTAACTACACCTCTCTCCTGATTCCTCCATTTCCTTCTCCTCCTGAATGTTATCTTTTATGACATAACATTTTGTTTTTAGAGGACAAACAACAGAAATATTGTACATTACTATTATTATTATTTTATTATATAAAGCAACAACAAATTCTGCAGTGATATACAATAGATGGACTATCAAACAAACAGTAGCCTCGGGATCAGGAGAGAGAATGTAGGTTCCGACATAAATGTAGAGGAAGATTGAATTTAAGAACATCAGTATTCTGGCATTTTCATTACTACAATCTGCAAGTGCTTTGTACAGCTAATCTGCTGCCCGCAGGTGATCTCTTCACAAAATCTCCAAAATCGAACATCTAAAGAATGAAGCATTCTTCAAAATATCAATCAAATGCACAGTTTTGTAATTACACTTAGTGAGACTTCAATTAACTTATATTATGGGGGGAAAAAGCATCCCTGTTTTATACACAGAGCTGCAAAATAAATATATAATTTCTGAAGTACATGTTTTGGTGACACCATTAAGGAGACAAACAGTGCCCTAGAGCACTATTTCCTAATCCAGTTCTTAAGGCTCACCAATGATCCAGGTTTTGACAGTATCCCTGCTGAAACAGAACTGGGAAATATCTGAACCCTACACTGATGGTGTGCCTAAGGACAGGGTGGGGTACCACAACTTGAGATTTGATAATGGTTGCATAAGAATTCCTGGGCAAATTTGGCACACTCCTAGGTAGGGGAAGACAAAACCCTTAAAGGGACACAATAGTCACCAAAACAACTTTATCTTAATGAAGCAGTTTTCATGTATAGTTCAGGCCCCAGCAGTCTCACTGCTCAATTCTCTGCCATTTGGGAGTTAGATCCCTTTGTTTATACAGCCCTAGGCACACCTCCCTGCACGTGACTAACACAGCCTTCCTAAACAGTTCCTATAACGAGTCATCTAATGTTTACACTTTATTGTAAATTCTGTTTAATTTAGAATTTCGTATCTCCTGCTCTGTTAATAACTTTCTAGACTCTGCGGGAGCCTCCTGTGTGAAATTAAAGTTCAATTTACAGAGCAAAAGATATAAAAACATTAAAGTAAGTTATATCTGATGGAACGTGAAACCATTTTATCATGCAGGCTGTGTGAGTCACAGCTAGGGAAGGTGTGTCTAGGGCTGCATAAACAGAAACAAAAGAGATTTAACACCTGTATGGCAGAGAATTAGGCTGTGTGACTTCAGGGGCATGAAGTTTCATTAAGCTAAAGTTGTTTTGGTGACTATAGTTTCCCTTTAAAGTGAAAAACATGTCCATAAAGAATATCATAGATGTCTAACATTTCAAGCTTATTTGTATTTTATTTTGAACTGTGTGTATTGTTTTTCTTTTTTTTAATGTACAGGATGGAAATGATTTTGGAGATATATATGATGACATGAAATTTTTTATTCCTCAAGTTCTTATAATCAAGCTAAAAACCGAAGAACCCAAAATTGCATTTGATCCAATTTTGGAGGAATGTTGGAATCTAATAAAACGCTGTTTTTACAAAATTATACAGAGTGCAGAAGGAATTCCAAAAGTAAGTTCTAACGAGTTATTAAAGTTAAATGTTGAACGGATGAATTGATTAAAATAGAAAGAAATGCCCTTTTAACTGTGCTGGCATTGGTTTTAATTATAATTTTGGGCTGGTGAGCCATTTTGGTACAGTTTATATATAATGCAAATTGCATATAGTTTTATACAAGATAATGGATTTGCTTGGAATAAAGTAATTTTATATGCTTTAATATAGTTCAATTAATTCACATTTTATATATATTTTTTTCCCCATTAACTTGAAAACACTTGCTAATCAACATTATAATTTAGGCAGTATAACATTGTTATATTCTTGTAAACTAAATACAGAGCTTAAATTCCTAGAAATATTACAACAAAGAAAAGCAATTGAAAAGTATCCATATGTATGAGTCTAGGATAGACCTCATGAGATTTCAAATGCAATTTAATTAGCTTGCTTGCCCTTTAACATAGGTAGAAGGGAGCCTTTTTCCTGGACTTCAAGTGGAAAATACAAACCTTAGGTCGGTCAAACAAGAGGAGTCTTTAGTTTCGGAATTTATCAGCCAAACACTGGAAATATTCAACAAGAACTTTGTTGGGCCACAGAAGTAAGTTTTGATTTCTTGACATAAATTGTTACTTTTAATCAAAATTTGGGAACAAAAACCAAGAAAATGCTTTATTTTTTGGCAGTAGAGGATAAAAAAACATTTGTTGAATTACTTTGTGAAACTGTGTTTTTTTCTTATTTTTTTTATTTCTTCGTTTTTTTTTAAATACTATTTTAACAGACATAATTAATTATTGTTAAATGCATGTGTCCCGATACAGTGAATAGATATAATGGTAATAGATCTGTCAGGCTTAGCCTAGTTAATTCAGGGGAATTGGTCTTGTTGCTGAAGCAGGATTTCAGATGCTGGTAGAGTCTTTACAGGTGTTTGTTCTCAAAACTGGGATTTGTTCGGAACTGACAAGATAGTTGCAAATTGTAAGCCAAAATAGCTGAGCAGTGAAAACAACTTGGCGTTTGTTTATTTGCAAATTACCAATTTTGGCCTAAAACCTGCGATTTCCTTGTCACAGCTATCAGCAGACTGGGAAGAGGCTAATAGCGAGAAATGCCTGGGGTCAAAGTCCATCAGTAATATTAAAGTATAGACTACCTAAACCAGGAATGCTTTGCAAGCAAGAGAACAAGGGTCCTCCATTTTGCTTACAGAGCTAGTAGGGAATTTCTCACCCATGATGCAAGCACTACTCGATCTCTAAATTGTTGTTCACATGGGTACTGTTGAGACACCTTTTCAGGTGTAGGTGGCTGCCCAAGTAGTGAGAGACAGATTGCTATCTGAGAATTTTATTTGATGGAGCCTAGACTTGAGATAGAGCCAGGGATGGCATTCAGGTGAGTATCTGAGATTTTGGGAGTGCAAAGTTTTAGTGGTGGACACTAAAAAGGATATTTTAGGCAATCAATGGAACACTAATTTGGTTTGATATACCTCAGGTCATAAAACTGTTCAAAGTAACTGGGGCCATTTAAGGAGACTTTAAACCTTGGGTCACTGAGACAAATCCATTTTATTTTATACCAATACATTTTAAGATATGAGCATAGTCTCACTCATACACATTCATATTCATGTTGGCTTCATCAGACTGAATCTGGTTTCAGAGGAAAATGTGTTCAGTCCACGTATTTGTGTATATATGGTAAGCAGGCAGTGAAAGAATTCCCTATAATGGCTGGATTCCGAATTAAATTTGTAAGGGCACCTATCTATGCTGATGGCATGAATCTCAGTGGGACAGAATGATATGCTCACATTCTGAAATGAAAAGAGTGAGAGGATGGCTTTCAACTCAAAACACTATACAGAACACTTTAAATATTCAACATTGTATGAAGTACAATGTGTATCCATTAAAATAATCATGCTGCTCTTTTATGCAGCATAATTCTGGCCTAGATGTGGATATAATGTTTGTATTATTTATTTTTGCCATTTGTTGACTGCGTGAATAAGCAGAATTTATCAAATGTCTCTGAGTAGAATGTATAAATGGTTTCTGTAAATAAAAATAAAAAAAAAACAATGTTACTACAGTAATAAGCTATGTGTGTTATGTGTGCTCTTTTCTATCAGGTATTTAAATGTTTACAAGAAATACAATGACCTTTTAAATAAGAAAGCTCAGCAGGATGTTAACACGTTTCTACGGGAGGAACATTCACTGCAGGCATTTACCAAGGTAACGAGAAATCATTACGATATCAACAGCGATTACAAGTACGGACCGTACAGTGTCTTTCTGACCTTAATTGTGTTTACATTCTGTTTATGATTCACATGAACAACCCATAAACAACAGCATTTTAATCCCTGGACCATATCATATTATTAAAATTACCAGCTTGATGCATTGTAAAGCAGGTTGGTTGTGAAAAGCTTATTTATTAAATTTGTTACATGCACCTTATACCTATCAACCGTACTAAGGCAATTTGTGCCGTGCTCATCTAGCCCAGCCGCTGGCCAATTCAGTTTGACCTTACAGCTAAACTGAACGTGGTTGGTCAGCACTTAACCCTGGAAAATGCAGACACCCCCAAATGTCTCAACTCAAAAGCAATGTGAAAACTTCACAGGTAAGAGGTGATTTCCCCAAACTACACTTCCAAGCCTAAAATCCAGCTCTACCTCTTCACAAAATCATCCTCTTGCTAACCATATCACTTGTACTAAGTAGAATTAGATGTTTGTAAAAACAAAATCAAATAGCTTATATATTCTATGTATGATCAGATGTGGTTTGACATCATTTTAAATAGCTGCAACTAAATGGTGGTCTTGATATCCACAGAAAATTGATCACCTAAAACAGCTACAGAGAGAGATTGCCTCCATGCACATTACCGTTCCATTGGCCATGTTTTGTCTGGATGCATTAAGACTGAATGAGGATCTCTGCGCCAGAGCCCAAAACCTGAAAGATCGTCTGATCCAGTTTAAAGTGGATGAAAACCGAGAGCTCAATAAAGGGTAATCTAGCTTACACACAACAGTAAAGGTTCTAGAGTTAGTTTAGAACATTTTAGGCTTACTCTACAGCAAGGGAGATCCATGGTAGCTCTCACAATTAATTGCCAGTGCTGAGGATCTACTTGCTGCACAACAGTTCATTTTAGAGTGAAACTGTGATCCACCAATACTGAAATAGCAAGACGGTCCACTTTAGGTCAATATTAAAACTCAGTATTTACTTGCCAAATGTATACATTAATATTCCCTTAATTTTTCATCCTGCCTGTTTAATGTGCTCTCTGCATGTAGATACATTATACTCACTGCCATTCTGGACAGAAAGAGTGTCTGAGTTGGCACAATTTGCATTCTAGGATAACTGTATGTTTAAAGATCCTGTAGCATGTATATCAATGTTTCAGACCATAGATGGTTCATGCCCTGCATTAACCATTTACAAATGCTTGTGTAAGCTCCTGATGATAAATTGTATTTGTTCATGTACATACATCTATTTAAGTAAGTGTGTGGAGATCAGCAATGCCTATCACTAGACATTCGTTCAGTAAAGAATAATATAACTTTTCTTTTGACATGTAAATTCAGTTTTATATTACTGAATTACTGGTGGCACATAGGATATCCCAACTCTTAGAGCTTGGTGTGTTTCTCCATCTAAACTAAGCTTAGTTTGCTGTATCTCTTTTACGCACAGCCTACTTGTGAGCTACCTCTTTCAATGATAAACGTTGTGTATTACTTGGTTTGGACCATTTCAGTAGAGCAAGACCCACAATTAGGGTGTCACATATGAAAAGAATGCAGTACTAGTCCCCTTACCTTATGGTATTCTTGCAGTCTGTCTGTTTCTTTATAAATCTGTAAGACCTGTGTTATCCATTAATATAAATTATGTGAAAAAGAACATTTTATTACTATGGTACAATTATCTTGCAACAAAAAGGATTTCCCTTTATTGTATATCTGGCGTATTTTGACTTACTGTATCATAACTTATGGCTTATTATATTAAAATTGTGCTTGTTATTTTGATTAGTCTGACAAAATGATAATTACACAAAATATGTTCTTTTTTTCTATGCTTTAATATGGCAAATCATTTGTTCAGTGCACAATGTTAATTTACTCATTGTCAAACCAATGAAAGGATAACGATCACCAGAATTTTTTTTTTTAAGTATTATAAGAATCATTGCTGCATGCCATTAAAAAAAAAAAGACATTTAAAAAAAAAAATTAAAAGGTGTGGCCTGACCAGGAAGGAAGCTGGACATGTCTGACTAGAGCTCTGCTCCATTCACACTACAATTAGCCTACAAAAGCACCAACAACAAGCGAAAAGATTGAAATATGGATAAAAGGAACCCTAAGAATACTGCCAAAAAAGGTCAGGAAGGTGGAAACACCGTGATGGGCCTTTTCGCAGCTCAGAAAGCCGGGCAGCATGAGACCCAAGATGGCGCCGGAGAGGGCCTTTCATCTCAGCCGCCCTCACCGCGTACATCCCTACCCGGAGACCCAGCCTTAGGGGAAGCAACCCAGATCCTGTCTAAACTGGCGGCGGTGAGATCATACCTAGCCGGGGGAAATAGAGAAATCTACTTTGGTCCTGCAGGCCGAGATACACGCGTTGGGAGTGCGGACTCACCGGCTGGAGTCCAGGCTGGAAACTACCACCGCAGCCCAAAATGCAATGGTCACCCAAGTCAATAGCCTATCAAGCCGCATGGCAGAGGCCAAACTGATGATGGAAGATATGGCCAACAGATCGCGGCGCAATAATCTCCATCTGCGAGGCCTCCCTGAGAAAGATAACGAGGGCCCCATCCAAGACCTAGTGCTGGAGGTACTACAGCCCCTGCTGCCTTATATACCGGCTGAGCAGTGGACAATAGAGAGGGCACACAGGGCCCTGCGCACCCGGAGACCGGACGCAACGTTCCTGAGAGATGTGGCTGTCTGCTTCCTCCACTTTCAAACCAAGGAGGCCCTACTAAGAAAGAGTAGAGATGGCCCCATAAAGCATGGAGGAGCGGAGATCTTCCTATACCAGGACTTGGCGCCCAGTACCTTACAGCAACGCAGGGAATGGAAGCCCATATCCGAGGCCTTACGGATAACTTACCCGCAGTGCCCACGACACCAGAGGGATTGAGAGCTCTTCCCACAGAATGGCAGAAGGTCGGAGAAGGGAGACGGTGGCAACAATGAAGGGTATCGTATGAAAAGGAACCGAAATCGACAAAAGCAGACCTAGCAGTCCATGGTAGCCGACGATAATCGGGGGTTGCAACGGGATGCTTGGGGCGGGGTGGGGGGGTTTGAGCAGGTGGGGGGGACTCCCAATGATTGCTGGCTAAACTACCGTACACGCTGGCTTTTGGGGCGTCCACCAAATCGGAGTCTGGGGAGGGAGCCGCTACGGCCACCGATGCTTGGGGTGGGGGAGGGGAGCATCTGGATCGTTACCAACCCACTGGCATCCACTTCTGAGATCGCCAGGTCCTTCCCCAGGCACTGACTCTAAGTCCGCCTGGGGCCCTTGGAGGACACCTGGCTTGACGCTGAGCACTTATACTGATGAGCTGAGGGGACTTTGGCACCTTGGCACGGACTCCACCGGAGTGGAACTAGCTCGTTTTGGTACCACTAAAGCCATGCCCCAGAGGGACGCCAAATGCATATGCATGTGCCATGACAGACTGACCATGACATCTCAAAATGGCACTCAACCAAACACATAATACTGCCTGATAATGCATTATTACGAGCAATTCACTAGACTACAAACACTTGCTCACACACGCCACCGACATCCCGCACGCACCTATACACACACAACCCACAACACACAGAGCAAAATAAAATGCATAAGTAACAGAGTGACCAATCGCAAGCTAACCTACGTGCCAGGAAAGCTATACGCTGCTTACCCACATACAGCATGCAATAGCTACCCACTAAGCTACATGATAAGATTGCATAAAGTCGCCAAGCGGCAAACAATCAACACCACATAGTGCCCAGGGCATACCATAGATTGTACCATACCAGTGTCCGGGGGTGACGCTTGCCCCCCCCAGGCTTTCTAGCGCCCCCTGCCCACTGAGTGTATTATCCCACTGATAGTGTTGTCCCCCTACATAGCGATTACACAGAGCCCTGGTGTTTACAATGGTTATCGGTCCCCAGCCCCCAAACCGGACTGAGGTTGCAAGGTTATGTAGATTGTTGCATGTTTCACCATATGAGAATAGTAATGTGTTTAGGGTTCTAAGGTTCCGAACTTGGCTGCCTAGCTTCCCTGACGCGTGGGGCGCGCGCATTGTGCGTGCCCACAAGGTGCAGCAGTTACCGTGAGTATGGTATCCAGCAATGTAGTGTGACATGGTCATGGCTCATGGGCCCGCATCTCACACGAGCGCTGGATGCCGTGGAGGTGCCGTTCCATGTACCCCACCAAAGTCTGGCAGCAGGTAAGACCAGACAGTGTGTACTTCGTTCTTGGCGTGCTTATGGCACGATCTATGTCTCTCTCTTCTCTTTTCCCCCTTTCCTTTTCTCTTATGCTATGAGACCGGGGTACGCTGCTGGGGGGTGGGTTGGGGGATGGGCGACTTTTCCGTGACGACTGACTATTGGATTTTACACAGCAAGGGCGGAGATAGCAAAGGTAGGCGTGATGCCTGGCAGGAACCCCCTACCATACACATGGCTATAAATCTCACTTCATTGAATGTGAAGGGCTTGAATGCCCCTAGGAAGTGGCGCCTACTGTTCCGTGAACTAAAAAGAATGAAAGCAGAGGTAGCATTTTTGCAGGAGACCCACCTTCCTAAACACGTACAATTTAAACTACATGACCACACATATGGCACCACATATGACGCTAGGGCACACAGGAAGCGCAACGGGTAGAAATATTAATACGCAATAGCTGCCCTTCAGGTATCAAAAACTGAAACCGACCCGGAAGGACGGTACATTATCCTATCTGGCACTCTATTTTCACACACAGTCCACCTCATCAACATATACGCCCCTAACCAACCAGAACAAAGATTCTGGGATAAGATACAGAACATGCTGCAGTCTCTGCCGTGTGGCATGGTGGTAATGGGGGGAGACTTCAACGCGGCGCCGTGTCCCGCAATCGTCAGGAGTGCACACAGAGGAATCCTGAGATCCCAGGGGAGAGGGGGACAGGGCAAACTATTACATGAGTTCATATCTAACGCGGGCCTGATAGACGTGTGGAGGGCGCACCATCCAGGCGAGGTTGACTACACCTTTTACTCTGCACCACACGACACGTACTCCAGGATTGACCTTTTCCTAGTTAACGACTGTAGCCTGGCACGGGTTACGAAATCATCGGTGGGCTCGATAACATGGTCCGACCACGCTGAGGTGACATTGACCCTAGGGAACCTCTGTACTGCTACCCCATGTACGTGGAGAATGAACACTTCCTTACTTAGAGACGCAGACATCATAAAACAAATGAGTAAAGAAATACAAGAGTATTTTACTATTAATGGTTGCCCAGATTTGAAAGCAAGCACCACTTGGACGGCCCATAAGGCTGTGAT